TTAAAATGAGAAGGTAAATAAGCCTATGTGAGCCGTCACAAGTTGTAATGTGTGTATGAAATTGTATTCTTCAAAAGAAATAAAATACAGACGTTTCGACAATAGATTTTGTCCTCTTCATGTGCCAATATTATATTCCGGGAATTAGTGTTAGTTGTAGTAATAATTTACTTGATTACATTGAATTTCGTTGAAGTCATTATTATTGAAAATTGTTCTATCTCGTCTGTAATATCTAACATATCCAAACTATGATGGCAGTCACTAAGAATAAAATAGAAATAATAAAGAAAGAAAAAGATTAAAAATTGATATTATTGATTCTAATGTAGTCATAAAAGTTCACTCTTTTTTGTTATATAATATTTTTAAATCGTTTTTAAATATATGTTTGTAATATATTTGTACTCTAAAAAGTGATATCCGAATAAAATCATATAAAAACGAAAAGTTTCAGCCATGTTCAAAAAAAGATACTCAAAAATTTAAATCTTTTTATCTAATAATAATATATTACCACGAAAAGTAACTGATATATTATTAATTAAAGGTGCTAGTTCAAAGTAAACATATTTTTCATCACGCGTGCACGTAATGTGCCCTATACCGCAACGCTTTTGCGTGCAGTAAATAGCCTCAAGCCGTTGAGTTATTTCTCTACCCCCCACTCTTCTGCGCAAAAACGTTGCTGTATAGGGCACATTACGACAACCACTTGTAATGAAAAATTCTATGTGTAGCGAGTGGGGGCATATTTGTTTATAGGTCGACACGGGCGCGCGTACGCACTTGCTTCGCTCGTGCGGTCGCGCCCGTTCCGCGCTATAAACAACTATCCCCCACTGTTACACAATGTACTATAAAGTGTATGTAACTTTCGGCCGATTTTCGAATCGTCTCCGCCTTCCGCTGTCCCTCTCACCTCTAAATGTCGCTCGAGCGGCATATACCGCGCGCGGTGAGGTGAGAGGGACAGCGAAAGGTAGAGACGATTCGAAAATCGGTCGAAAGTTACATACACTTTAAATATGTTTACTTTGAACTGGCACCTTTAATTAATAATATATCAGTTACTTTTCGTGGTAATATATTATTATTAGAGAGATTTAAATTTTTGAGTATCTTTTTCTGAACATAGCTGGAACTTTTCATTTTATGTATATATATATATATATAATTTTGAGCTAAAAAACCTAAGTTTTATCTTGACGAACCTACTAATTAGGAGAAATTATGAAAGTCTTGTATACATTAATTAAAAATAATCTATTTTCTTGTAACGTAAAAAAATTACATATCGAAGCAATATCACTCACAGTAACGTTACAAATTTAACAGAATTTCTTTTTAAAAATTAAAATTTACAGGGTTGGGTAAGTTAATGTTTTTTTTTAACTGAATAAAGTTAAAGTTAATAGCTTTACAAAATTAATAAAGTTAAGTTAAAAGTTGAAGGAATAAAAAATTAACTTAACGTAAGTTAAGTTAATATTGAATTAACTCAAGTTGAAAAAAAAGTTAATTTCGAAAAAAATTATTTTTTAGATTAAAATGTCCTAATTTTTCTTAAAATGAGATTAAATAACTACAATATAGATTATTAGGTTTACTTTTTAATAAGTCTTAAGTCATAAGAAATTGATCAATTAAATTCGAATAGAGAAGAATATTTGACTGTAATTAATCAATTTCTTATGACTTAAGGCTTAAAACACTTATTGTAGATCCGGACTAAGGTTTATAACATAAGGCATAACCGCATAAGCCAATTAGAGGGCCGTATTAGCATCTTAAGAAATTACTTAAGATGGCCTTAAAATATGAACAGAATATACGCTCTTAGGACGGAATCCGTAGACGTTACTCAAGATTCGAGATGGTATTAAACTAGTGCATGAACCAATCAGAGAGCCGTATTAGCATCTTAAGACATTCCTTGAGATTTAGACTATGTTCGGACCATGGATTCCGGCCTTAGTCTTATTATATCTTATTACTTTCTAAGATATTTAAAAGACATAAAAGAATTTTTTAACTTAAAAAGAAAGTTATAAAGTTAACGTTTAAAAGTAACTTAGTTAAGTTAAAATTTAATGCATTTAAAATTAACTAACAGTTAAGTTAAAAGTTATTAACTTTTAACTTTTTTTTAACTTTTAACGTTTTAACTAGTTATTACCCAACCCTGAAAATTTATAATGTAAAATTATAAATTTTTACATTATTGTACATAAATTTTTTTTATGATAATAAATTAAATAATTATTATGAAAATTATAATAAGAAAAGAAACAATCTGAATTTTCTCAACAAAATAAATGTCCACAGATATTACTTTTAGGTTTAGAAATAATGTCCACGTAATATATTCTAAATAGAATTAGCAAAACGTGACAGAGGGTGAAATACATTCTAATAAGATTATACGTCCCGAAATTATTTTATGTAAATAGAATCAGTAATAGAATGTTAAGTATATTTTACTTCTGCTTAACGTTAATTAGGAATTATTTACTTGTGTCAATTACGTATAATGAGTAACTGTCCAGATTCATGTATAAGGTTTTAAAAAAATAAATATCAGTAGATTTACCTTATATAGACAATTCTGAAATCTTAGCCATCCTTCGTAATCAACGCAGCATTGAATACACTTATCGCAATTTCTATCTGGAAGATCGTCTGTAAGCATGTAAATACGGTGTTTTATAAAAAAACATCGACAATAACAGGACTACGAGCCATAAATTAAATATTATAAATAATAAAAGTAAAGTTTCAATTTAAACCATAAGAATTTAATGACATATTATATAACGAAATAACAAAAAGATAAATAAACAAATATAGGCAAACGTTTCGATCCCTATCGGGTCATTATCAATGCCATAGTATATAAAGACATAAAAAATATTGACGCATATAAAACAAAAGATGTATAACTAATAAAACGCATATCAACCGATAAAAAATTAACAGACGTGGGTAAAACTTCATTTCTCTCATTTGTCGCATGTCAATTGAAACTCGAATATTAAAAGCATTTCTTGAAAATCGTCATATATCTCATTAGTCGCATGTTATTGAACCTCGAATATCATAATCAGTTGCAAGTGTAAATAACAGTTTAAGTGTGCGTAAGAGAAATTGCATTATCTGTTAAAAAATATATATATATCATGTAATTACAAATTGAAAAACTCGAAGTATTAAATACAATCATATATATGCGTGTAAGAATAAAATTAAAATTTTTGTATTATATAGCGCATATTATATATTATATTACTCAACTTAATGATAATTAAAATTAAGATTAAAAACACTTCAAAAAACAAAGAATAATAGCGCGTACCTTAGTCATTTGGTTACTTGAATTAAATTTTACAGATATAAATGTGAACAAAGGAAAAACTCAGTGATGTTAACAGTTTAATTACCGAAAACAGTTTAAATTTAAAAACATTTGGAAGATGACAAGGAAAGAGGTTATCGAGAGGAAGGGTAGTTAAGAGAAAAAAAGGGGGGGGGTTTAAAATAAAAATTTGACATTTTCAATTTAGGAAAAAAGGTATATGTGTGTAATAAAGAAAACATATCTCTTATCCATTAATATAAATAAGTAATAAAGAATAAATAAAGAAAAGTAATAAAGAAAACAATATTTCATTCGTGGATTATATTTGCAAATGTTAATGTACCAATTTATGTATAGCCAATTTTGAATAAGTAATGCAATTAATCCATATAGTCAACATTAGAAGCTATGAATATTCACACAATATTGAATACTTTAATTAATTAAATTACAAAATTGTATGTATTTAATTTTGAAAAGTTTTACTTGATTTTTTGACCGAAGATACAAAAGAATATACAAAATAGTTTGCCAAATAAATTATTAGGTGCTTGAATTAATTTTTGCTGTTGACCCCGAGAGAGGTCAGTATTTGTGTTGATTCAACATGACCGAAAGTGACTGCTTATGTATATGAAAATACCAGGGACCGAAAATGACGATTATTTCCAGATTTTTGATTAAAAAAATCATTGACTAAATGTTATCGTATTCCTATTTTAAATACACCAATATTATCCTTGAAAGCTGCACTATACAATTTGATTAGAATCCTTATTTTTCGATTTTTTTTTCAGAAAAGGATGTTTATAACGATTACAGGTAATTTTTTGTTTTCTAGTCGGCGATAACGATTATCGGATAATTTTTAAATACCGATTGCCCCATAACGATTATGAGCTGATTTAATCATTATCAGTCACCAATAACGATTATCAGCTGATTTGATCGATATCAGTCATCGATAATGATTATCAGCTGATTTGATCGATATCATTGCTGCATCAATTTTTTTACATAGCATGCGATTGCGCATTTTCTGAATAAGTTCCTGCTTTAGTTTATTGTTATATTTTTCAGCAACGTAATCCATTATATTGTTGTAGCCCGCGAGTGCTACCACGATTAAGTCTCGCATTTCAGCCTCGCAACGAGCTGGCGGAAATGCAAGATTATTACCGCAAAGCAACCTTTGTATTTCGGCATAGCAATGACTTGCGGAAATGCAGGGTTGCAAATTCCATAGCGTGCGCGGACAAAGATCACCGATCGAACGCAGGCAATGTCCGCACGCATATCGAACGATTATTGCTAAAAAGCAAATCTTGCATTTCGACGGGACAACGAACTGCCGAAATGCAAGAAGACAAAGTCAGCATTGCACACGGCACGCATGCCGCTAGTTCGATGACTCCACGACGCCTATATATTCGGCGGTCTAAGGACTGGCGATATAGAGACCCTCTAATCAGAGTCGCGAAATAACGTCAATAAGGTTAGGTCGGCGATACCATTTTTCAGCAAAAACCGGAAGTAGCGATTATAGTTGATTATAGTACATTGTGTAACAGTAAGGGAAAGTTGTTTATTGTGGGGACGGGCGCGACGGCACGAGCGAAGCGAGTGCGTACGCGCGCCCGTGTCGACCTATAAACAAATATGCCCCCACTGTTACACATAGAATTTTTCTTTGTGTAGGGCACATTACGTGCACGCATGAAGAAAAATATAATACTACTGCACGTACGAGCACCATCGCAGTTGCAATAAAAATACTATGATTGTGATACATTAACACCTAATACATGTGGATCTAAATACAGTTATCAGAAAGAAATTACATTATTATATTTTTTATATTAATACTGTATTTCATAAAATTATATTTTTTAGAATGACTAGTTCTGCGCCAGACTGCAATAATTCTTTAAAAAAGGGTTATATTATGAAAGTCTTTCCTCGTAATCCTGAAAAAGAGCAAAATAGGCAGCGAATGTAGGTCGACTTAAATTTGATGCCATGACTATTTCCGGTTTTTGCTGAAAAATGTCAGCACCAATCAAAATTGGAACCGTTATTTCGCGACTCTGATTAGAGGGTCTCTATGGCGATAGAGTCTTGTCATACATCTAAACGTACGCGCGTCGCGAGAGCCGAGTCATATTACATCCGCGATAACGAGTGTCGCTGACCGGTCTAACAATAAGTCACGAGCGAGGACTTTATCCCGAGTATTATTCTTTTAATTAAATTCAACTATTGTAATCAACTACTCGAATTGTAACAATCAAAGTGTAATCTTTTAATCGGGTAATTATATCAATTAAATAAAGGGTTAAATGTAACTAGTGGTAATAACCACTCGAAATTGTAATTGTTATAATAAATAAAAGGGGTTATTTTAATAAAAGTGTGGTGCAGTGAGTGTTTGTTCTACGACCTTGACACTTTTCTCGTTTTCCTCGTGAGTTCCAACCCTTTGAGCGGATCGAATCCCAAAATAATATCTTGTTGCACCGAGAGGTACAACAATATTGTGCGATGTAATTGGATCTTTGTCCAGAGCTTTGAATGTTGCTTCCGTAAGATATTTAAATTCTTCAGAATCGAAGAAGGAAATAGGCAGATTTTTCTTTGTAACGAAATTGATGCAATTTTTAATAAAAGTGTCTTCACAAACCTCAAACTGAACTTTCACAACATCAGTTTTTCTTTTTTTGGTGCTACTGCATTCTGCACTGGCCTCTTCTCTGTTTTGTTTTTCAAAGTACTTATACATTTCATTATGTTTCTTTACAAGGTGTCTTTTAAGGTTCGTGGTTAATTGAGCATTATAACTACCACCACAGTTCTTGCACTTGACTCTGTTACCGTTTACGACGAAAAACTTTCTTATAAATATATTCAATTTGCGACCCATTGCACAACTGGTATTACACAATAGTTTAAATTAACGAAATATCTATTAACAAAATTTAAGCAAAATCACCAAATAATCAAAATCCGCAATAATATCACAAATCATCAATGATAATGTACTCTTTGTAGACTCTGTAAGAATACAAATACAATCGTTATCAGACGTGCATATAGATCTATCCGCTATCTAATAATTGTTATCGGTGACTGATATCGAAATCAGCTGATAATCGTTACGGGTGACTGATAACGGTTAAATCAGCTCATAATCGTTATGGGGCAATCGGTATTTAAAAATCATCCGATAATCGTTATCGCCGACTAGAAAACAAAAATTTCCTTGATAATCGTTATGGGAAGGGACGAAAATAACTATCAACAAATAATTTTTATTGTATAATTTATTGCATATAAATTATAACGATTATGATTCCTGGAAAATACTATCAATAGGCTTTAATAATCAGTAATGTACCACATAATATTTGATCGGATGTAAAGAACACAATTTTTTATCGCGAAAAAATGTCTAATTTCGTACAAAAAAGAGCATTTGCGGGAACTTTTCTGTTTTAACCTCAAAAAATCTGCTGCTAAAAGTCATCGTTTGGTAGTGAAGGCTTATGGGGAGCATCCCAAGGAGAACGAGACAATCAAGTACCATGTCAATTTGACGTCATATTGATCGAATTTAGTTATTTTTTGATTATGATAAAAATTTCTATTTCAAATGACTTAAAAATGACTTTATATTAACTTTTTTTTATTGTCATCCTTTTTATTTTATCATCTGAGATCGAGATTTTTATCATGAGATCAAAAATGACTAAATTCGTTCAATATGATGTCAAATTGACATTATTTTGATTGTTTCGTTCTCCTTGTTCTATCTGAAACAACTTGCAGAGATTGGTTTAGAATATTTAAAAACAACGATTTTGACGTGAATAATAAAAAACGCCCTGGTCAGCCGAAAAAATTTGAAGATGGAGAATTGGAGGTATTACTTCAAGAAGATTCATATCAGACGCTCAAAGAGTTGTCGGAAACATTAAATGTCTATGTGTTAATTGTTAGCAAATGTTTAAAAGCAATGGGAATGATCCAGAAATTAGGAAATTGGGTCTCACATGAATTGAAAAAAAGAGACATTGCGAAACGTTCAGCTATTTGTGAATTGCTGCTCCAAAGACAAAAACGAAAGTCGTTTTTGCATCGAATTGTGACTGGCGATGAATAATGGATTCGTTATGACAATTCTAAACGCAAAAAATTATGGGTGCATCCCGGCGAGAAACAGCGACAATTAATTAAAGCACCTAATATATGAAATAGAATTCACGCAATAAATATTATCTACAACTTTTAAACATCCAACATTAAGAATCATGAATTTTAATTAAATCACAATTACAATATTGAAAAAGTGAAATTAACAAATTTTTTCAGAGTTTCAATTGACGAGAAAGTCAACTTTAAATTGATTCGAATACTTCAAGTCGCTAATTCAATTACTGGCAATATTATTTCACTAAAGAAATACTAAAGAAAGAAAGACTAGCATGCTGCAATTTTTACTCACCTAAAACTACAATATGCGACAGATACTCTGGCGGCAGCGCATACATATGTTTCTTGGTTTTTACCCCGTTACATTTGAGTACTCGAATCTCTCGATTGCCGGTCCTCACCGATACTGTGACCGGCGCCGGTGGACAATCTGGGCGCATTTGCTGGATCGATTGGATTCTACTGTGTTCCCTTGGGGATTTCTCCTGTGACTTCTCGACACGATGTTCCCGTAACTCGCGCTTATCATGTTCCTCAGCGGACGTGACATCGTCGCCGTCATGATCGTCTACCACCCCGGAGTCATCCAAAGATGACTGCTGATTGCTATTATTGCTGGCTTGTCTGGAATGTAACATACTTCTATTTGGCGCTAACCGATGAACTGTATTGGGTTCCAGTGGTCTGGAACTAATATTTTGAAGCGGCAAGTGAGATGGTCGTACACTAGAGTGCCTGGGACTTGGACTTGGACTGGGCGTCATAGACCTGTAATGAAATTCGATGTTATCTATATATTTCGGAGAGAATTTAGTATTTCGTCCAAAAGAATCGATTTATCTTTTAATAAAATATAAATAAGAAATCGAGTTTTTTAATGAAAATGTGTGTATGTGTACATGCATATGTATAATATATATACATATGTAGGAGTTTAATATCACCAATAAGCGTCGCGTGAAATCAGTTGGTAACACGCAGTGCCGACGGGATATATCGATGTTACTAGCTTTAATCGATAACCGCCGAAAGCGCCGCGACCGGAAGAAGCCATGCGTATTGTATGCACGAGAGAAAAGAAGACACACAAGATTCCGGTGTAGAAAAGCAAGCGGACGCACGTACAAGTTTATCTCTGTATTTTGATATTAATAATATACATATCGTTATAACGTGAATTCTGTGTGTGAGTTTCTGTGGCCCTGTATATCCCATAGATTTTGGAGGCTCGTCTGGGATACAGGTAACAGAGCGGTGTTGTTCACGAATGGTGTTGTCCCAAGCTGTGTGTGGTGCAACACGAGTGAGTCGTTGAGAAGCCATTGTCGGCTGTGAGGAAAGACAGAGAGAAGACGCTGTGAGTTGTGAGGATGTCGGACGAAACTACCAAAGACGCGATCGACATCGACTCCTTGACGTTAGACAAACTCAAGGAGGAGCTGCGAAAGCTGAATATGAAGATCAGTGGCAGTAAAGCCGTATTGCGAGAAAGATTAAGGGCCGCCATTTGCAAGTCGAGCAATAGCAAGCGTGCCGATGACGAAGACGACGAAGATGCTGGTAACGAAGACGGAAGCACGAGTGACGATTATGCCGAGGTGCAAACGAAAAACAGAAATGACGGCGTCGGAAACGCGCGATCGATGAGGAGAGCAGCGACCATGTCCGTTCGCCCTCCTTTGTCTTTTAAGGACATTGAAGACGCCATACGAACATTTAGCGGAGACGGAAAACAAAATGTCCGTAAGTGGCTCGAGGAATTCGAGGAGGTTTCCGAGGTTTGCGAATGGATCGAGTCGCTGAATATCATCTATGCTAAGAAAATGCTGCGAGGTTCCGCGAAATTGTTCGTTGCCTATGAACAATGTTCCAAAACGTGGAAAAAATTGAAGTAAGCTTTAATTTTGGAATTCGGAGAAGTAGTGGATAGTAAGCGAGTCCATCATGAATTATCCCGAGTGAAAAAGAAGAATGACGAATCATTCCAGGAGTACATGTATCGAGTACTGGAAATCGCAAGCCACGCTAACATAGAATTGGAAGCTAAAATTCATTATATCGTCGATGGAATTCCGGATGACGCATTTAACAAGAGTATTTTATATAATGCTCGCACTATAAGGGAACTTCGTGCAAATCTGGTGCAGTACGAACACGTAAAGAACAGCACGACGCAGAACAAGAAGGCGTTTCATCAGGCGCGAAAATCTCAGCAGACGAAAACGGAGAAAAAAGCAGATGGAATAGCAGAAAAAGGCCAGCCGAAGGATAAATCCGAAAAACGATGCTTCAACTGCGGCGGAAAGAACTACTTGAGCGCGGATTGCCCTCAAAAGGACAAGGAAGCTAAATGTTTCCAGTGCGGTAAATACGGACACATTGCGACTAAGTGTAGCAAAGAAGACGATAATGTAAATACTTGTAATGCGATGGTGCGGTCGGACAGGCGAGTATATAAGACGGTAGAGATAGAAGGTAAACAAATAGTGGCGCTGTTTGATACCGGTAGTGATGTGCATCTAATGACCGCGAAGCAATGTGTTAGGTTAGGTCTTCCCGCGTTGACAGGTCCTGCGATTGTGTGTAAAGGTATAGGAACGCACGCGGTTACTACGTTAGGCAGTTTTACGACTAATGTATTGATTGATAATGACACTTTTGAACTTGTCGTACACGTAGTATCAAATAATTATCTCTGCCACGATTTAATCCTAGGATCGGATCTTTTTTTTTAGGGTGCGCTACGATAAAGTTAGATGGTTCCTTAATGTCGATAGAAAAACGAAAGAGTGACGCGGTTGCGACGAATGCCCTTGACGTTCCTGAAATATTCCAAATCAGTGCGATAGAAAATTGCAAATATCAAGAAAATACACAAAGCCGAGTAAATGTCAATAATATAAGCAACGATGAACTAAAGTTACAAATTGAGAAAGTAGTTAATGAGTACATGCCGCGGGCCACCAAACAAGTCGGAATCAAGTTAGATTTAGTTTTAAAAGACGACGTACCGGTGTACAAACGACCGCGCAGACTCGCGCCGAAAGAGAAGGATCAAGTGAATGAACACATACGCGAGTTGCAGGGAGGTATTGTTAGGCCGAGTGTATCGGAGTATGCGAGTCTGGTCCGGTGGTACTAACAAAGAAAAAAGATGGCGGCACACGTCTTTGCGTACACTACCGCAAACTCAACAGGAAAATTGTTAAGGACTGATACCCCTTGCTTTTGATTGATGATCAGTTAGATTTACTGCAAGAGTCGATTTTCTTTAGCGTGCTAGATTTGAGTAATGGTTTTTTTCACGTACCGGTCGGCGAGGATAGCATCAAATATACCGCGCTTGTCGTCCCAGACGGACACTACGAATTTTTGAAAACGCCTTTTGGCTTATGCCAGTGCTCAGAATTAGTTGCACATTTCGGGCCGATTTCTGAGGCGACGCCTACTGTTTCCCCACTACCACTCGAGCCTCGGCGGCCGAGCCGCCGACCGCTCACGTGATGCTGTGCCTCAGAAGCATCGCGATACTTTCCAGGGCTGCGTTCATAAAGTTTACTCTTTAACTCAGAGTTAACTAGAGTTAACTCTATAGCGTTCAGAAACTCGAATATGACCGGAAGCATGTTCAGAGTAAACCGTTCTGTAGAGTAGCATAATAAGATATCTTATTATCATAAGATTAAGTACGAGATCGAGTCGTCCTTTCCGTTATCCGCGAGCGGCAGCACTAATTAGCAGGGGTAGAGGCATTGTTCTTTCTCCTTAGTCAGTTGCAAATACAGCACTCATTAGAATAGACCATACGCACGTGACTCGAGAAATTTATACCGTTCTTTATACATATATATATATATATTAAGTGTTATAAATATAATACAACCTTGTATATCTACCTTCATTTTTCTTAATAAATTTACAACAATCTGGTAGCAGACCGTGGTTGTTACACGAAAAAGGAGGAAGAAGAAAGAGAAGTACGATTGCAGGTTGCGATTCACGCCATTTAAGATGGAGAGAAACACATTGCCAATAATCCCGTTACTGAACGGAACCAATTACTTGGTCTGGGCAATAAAGATGGAAGCTATCCTGAGTTTGAAGAAACTGGATAAAATAATTATTCAAGAAAAGCCAGGGGCAGACGCCGACCAAAAGGGGATAATCGAATGGGAAACGAAGAACAAGGATGCAGTGGCATATATACGGCTGCATTTATCGGACGATCAAGCGTTACAGTTTGCAACAGAAAATGAGGCGAGGCAGCTGTGGCTAAAAATTAAAGACACCTACGCTGGAGCGGCAGAGGATCAAAAAATCGATGCAAGTAACGACTTGAAGTTCCTTCTCATGAAAGATAAAGAAACGGTAAGCGACTATATTACACGTGCACGCGGTCTAGCCACGAGATGTGCAACATTAGGCGTGAACATTACATCACGCGAACTAGCATACTACACAGTACGCGGGATAAATAATAATTATAAAGATATCCGCGAAATATTGAAAACTCAACGGGAGAAATCCTTAAAAGAAATCCACGAAATTCTGAAGGAACGTGAAAAGGAAACTCAACGTCGAGGAGGCGGCCATCTTAAGGAGACGGAAGCCGCATACGCAATCCAAAGAAGGACCGACAAGAAGTGCTACATCTGCGGGAAAAGCGGCCATCTTGCAAAGGTATGCTGGCATCGCAAAGGTCATAAAGGGGAAAATTACAAAACTGCTAATACAAAGCGGGAAGGACGGAAGGACCCTGACATGAGCCGGGAAAATACGGAGAAGAAGAAATCCGCTAACAATATAGTGAAATCCACAGACGGTAATGATAAAAAATATGCGTTCACACTGTACAAGTCTGATACCCAAGGTAATATCAATGAAAGTTGGTTATTTGATAGTGGTGCGACTAACCATATGGTTAATAGTCTTAAATGGTTTACTAATATAAAGAATACTTGCATTCTAACTCGGAGTAAATGGAGTAGTGATTTATTATTATTTCGTCGCTGAAGATGGTCTAAATTGCAGACCGAAACGTTCGACGGGGCATCTTAATGTTAATTTGTAAGATTATTAAAAAATTTTTTTCGCATTGTTAACTGCGTTTGACTCTTAATAGCCTTTAATTTATGTTTTATTTATTTGTTTTTAACAATAAAGAGTCCATAACTAGTTTATATAATTTTATTAAGAATTTTTACTAATATAGATTTTCAGGAAGGTGAACTTTGTCAGGCGGGAGCTGAATCAAGACTGCGTTACAAAGGAGTAGGTACTGTCATAATTAAAATCAGAAGCGAGTACGAGAATAAAATTACTATCACGATGAGCGATGTCTTATATGTACCACAACTTAGAGAGAATTTATTGTCTACGACGACACTTATGAAAAAGGGCTACAAAATAGTACAACAAGATGATACGATTGTTGTGATGGATGAGGAAGGTAACGTAGTCTTGACCGGCGAACTAATAGGTAAGCGATTAAAATTCCAAGCTGAGCCTTGTATTGTTGATGATCATAGAAGTTCTTATAATATTGAAAAAACGCCTGACATTGGTCACGAAATATGGCATAAGCGGTTAGCCCATGTAAACAGTCAAAAATGACTAATAATAACCTTGTAGATGGCATGTACATAACTTTTGTTGATGATTTCGTCTGTGAAAGTTGTAATCTCTGTAAGATAACTAGGAAACCGCATAAAGTAATAACGCAGGATCAGAGTACACGACCACTCGAGTTAATACATGGCGATGT